ATTTCCATATCATTTAGTTACTCAATGTTTAATAGTCGTACAGTGAATATAGTACATAAATAGCATCAATATATATATATATATATTATTAACAGTAATAATACAGATAGATCAGAATTGTAAATAATATGTGGTCCGGCGAGGCTCCGGCGGTGGTCCGGCGAGGCTCCGGCTATGGTCCGGCGAGGCTCCTGCGGTGGTTCGGCGGTGGTCGAGGAGGAGCTTCTTCCTTCTCTTCCTTCTCTTCTCTTCTTCTCTTCTTGCTTGGGTTCCCTTTGTGAAGAATGAGGGCTCTATTTATAATTTTTCTGAAGTGGCATAGCTCATAAATAGGCCTGAGATCAGGGGTGAATTGGGCGAGGCTCCTGCGGTGGTTCGGCGGTGGTCGAGGAGGAGCTTCTTCCTTCTCTTCCTTCTCTTCTCTTCTTCTCTTCTTGCTTGGGTTCCCTTTGTGAAGAATGAGGGCTCTATTTATAATTTTTCTGAAGTGGCATAGCTCATAAATAGGCCTGAGATCAGGGGTGAATTGGGAGTGATCGAATGTACGGTCGATATTGAATCCTACGATCGTGCACCGTTCGTCAGACATTTGAAGGCCTTAGTGATGTCGGAATTTGGTGATCTTGGGCTCCTTGGATTTGTCTCGTTGAGCCCTTTGATTCGAGTATAAGCTCCCTAAAATCGGACACTGTTTGGTAACTCAAACGGTGCTACGAAGCTTCCAATAGTGCTTCGGGTCCTTGATTTGGGCTCATTTGGGCTCGGATTGAGTCGAATTTGGTGTCGTTGGATTTGTATTTCCGAGACGCTCAGTTTGACTATAAATTTGTTGAAATCGGAGTTGAGTTGGTCTCTGGATTAATTTTAGATGTTTCCAACTCCATTTTGCATCGAGATTCGTGCCCGATCAAGATAATTTTTTGGCGATGTATCAAGTGTAAACCGGATGATTCATATAACAAACAAGCAAAACCACAATAATTCAGATCATTTATGATTCAAGCTTTACCAATGGACTAAAAAAACTCAACCTGTGAGCTCATAAATAAATCAGCTCAAACCATATCAAAAGTATGGCCGACCCAAAAATTTTCCGCTTTCATTAGCCCGACGTAGCATGGCGATTTTGAGATAGCAAGGGGACTCCTGAATTTCCATGATCATACGGCTGACAATCTCCCATCAAACAAACAATCATATCAAACCTTGGAGGGCATAGATGCTCAGAAGGCCACTTTTCTATAGTCGCAATCCCTCTTTCTGGCGTCCTCCCTCGGACCTGCTAAACACCTCTCGACGCACCAGGTCGGAATTGGGGGAGATGACGACGTTTCTTCTCAGAACTTTATCACGCTCCTCTTTCGCCACTTCAAGATCGAGGCATCCCTCTTATGCTTGCTTCCGTTTAGGCAGAACGGTGAGTTCTCTTTCCTTATCCTTTCTTCCCTTGAACAGCTAGGGCTGAATTGTTTTTTTCCTCAACCTTTTATTGGATCAACGAGTAGTATTTTCGTCTTCTGGTGTTTTTGGTTCTTTTTAGGTTAATGTTGGTGAAAGTATACATTGGATATCTTTCAGCAGATTCATCACGATAAAGTCTAAAAAACCGTTTCTTTTCGTTTTTGTTTGATAGTTTAATTTAATGTCTGGCACTGTTTTCGTGATGGAAACTTTAGGTTGTTCTGAAGCTCGTGCTCCTGTTTTTGTCTCCGAAAATTGCTGCTTAATTTGTTTAGGTGAACGTCCTGGTTGCAAAATGATGCTTTCACTTTTCTTAGGTTGTCTTTAGAAGGCTGTTACGGTCCTAGAAAAAGTTGGCTCCGGATTTATTTCTAATGTTTGATTGATGATATCAAAATTCATGCTTTTTTTATCTTTGTTCTATGTGACCATGATTAAACATAATATCTTTTAAGAGTCTCAATTGGTTAAATTCTTTTTTTGGTTCACAATAGTTGGTGCCATTTATGGGAAGTATCCCACTACTATTAATTAGTGTTGCTTAAGCTAATTGGCAGGCATTTTGACTTATCACATGTTTTTGGGATCTATAAATTTCTACCCTTTGTTTCAACCATGAGCAACATTAAATAACTCTTGTACGTTCTATTAAGTATAGTGGAACAATTAAGGTGGCTTGTTTTCCAAGTTTTATTCAAGCAACTTCTTTTTGAGAAGATAGTGATGATGGTCAGCTATAAACACAAGTCACAACCCTATTTCTATATATCAACTACATCCTGCCTCCTGATTATGCAATTGCATCAAGAAAGTGATTTCTCTTGGCTACAATTTTAGTATGCGACTCTATTTCTCTCTACTAGCAATAACATACATCCAAACTAAACAAACACATAAGAAAAGCAATGTTGCTCGGCTATAAACATAAGTCATTATTTTGCATCCACGACTTTGTATTTGGGCATGGCTCAGATTGACCCAGAGGCTTTTTTTGGTGACCCAAACTAGCGTTTTAAGGATTTTTTGAGCCCGCCCGTTAGACTTGTATAGACATGTCCATCCATGGTCTGCTCATTTTAGACCTATTTTTATCTATATATTTGTGGATTTGGATAATTTTGGGGCAAATGTCTATAATTCAAACATTTTTATTACCTAAATAATTTTGATTTTAGTAAATCTCCAAATGGAAGCTAATTGGGACAATTCAGGATCAATTGATTCCCGATTTTGAGAAAAGGTATCCATCAATGATCATGTAGGGAGTATTTGCAAACAAGCGATTCAAACTTAAATTCATACTTTGAAAATTTTGGTCTTGAAGACCTCAAAGCACGTGAAATAGAATACCATATGATAAATAATGGCCTTTTTAGGCTAAAGGCAAAGGTATTTTTTGACTTCATATAAGATATAATGATACAAATGATACATCTCTTAAGAATTTTGGCTTTGGATTTATTCTAACCGTCTGTTCAATGTTATAAGGATTTGTGCTTCTATGATCTTTGTGCAAATGATCTCCATGTAATTGGAGTAGGACTGACTAATGATATTTTATTATCTCCATGGTCGGATCAAATTAAGGTTCATGCAAATCATTTTATCAAAACCATAAAATCTAGATTGATCCTGGAAAATTGACCAAAATTTGATGGTCCAAAATAAATGAATAACACTAATCTTGAGACCTCAAGCCTTCATTGATCTATCCATTATCTTGAAGGTTACGATGGTTTAGCACGGATCTTGATGACGGCATGACTTGATTCTCTACCTTTGGATTGAACGGAAGACAAAATTATCCTCAATCAGGTGGCATTTTGGTCAAACGTAGGTCTCAAAGTTGACATGGTGCATCCGTCCACCATATGCTCCAGTAAAAGCATTAAAGTGCTCTTCACCCCAACAAATATAAATAGCACATGTAGGTGGGGGAGCTAAGATTCATTCTAAATATATCTCTTTCCCGAGTGAGACTGCGAAAGCTGCTTTTAAGAGTAATATTTTGCCTTCAAGATCACATATGACTTGGGAGTTAGAGTGTCTTTCAGGAATCAACTTCTTGGGCAGGCTCACTATTTTTTGGATATACAAGCAAGAAATGAGCCCACACTAAAAATGTTGTCGTTTGAGAATCTTGACTGACTCTGGATCATTTTCTGATATGCAGTAAAGAGTAATAGGATGGTGCCTCATCTCCCTTTTTTTATGAAATTAAAGGCAGTGTAAGTTGGACTGAGAACTAGCTATCTCATACATAGGGAAGAAGCAAATATTGCTAGGAGAGAGTAGTTAGTTCATCCTTATGGAACTAGTGCCCTCCAAGAAAGATAAGTGTAAAGTTGCAACATAACTTTTTTTTTAAATGCATCTTCACTGTATATTTATTTCATTGCTTCTGCTTCTGGATGGCTATGGTTGTAGAAATTGCATTCACTACCTCAATAATTCAACTTCGGTAAATTTATTGTGGGTCCTGTCAATGAAAAATGTCTCCATTTGAAAGTATTGATCCATCTTATCATATTTCTGACATGATTGATATTTCAATCGAAGTTAGTGTAGTGTATCAAGCACTACATGCTATGACAAGTCAAAGAAGAGTTTAAAAAAATTCTTTCTATCGACTTTACATGTAATCTGGTTGAATTTATTTAAATCAAATCTATTTGGTTATTTAAATTTTTAGATGGCATTGTTAAGGACATGAGTATATAATGCCTATACAATTTAATTCATGACATTTGTTCTGAATGTAATTTACTGATTACTCCCTTATGCTATTAAGAATTCAAAGGAACATATGATGATCATATCTTTCAAAACATCCATTTAACAATTATTCAGAAAGACAAGAACTTTATACCACATGGCTGCGTTTATCATACTTCTACAGTTGTCAGCTCCAGCGTTTCTTATGGCTCACATACGGATTTGCGGTTGGAGTGAATAAGACTTCGTTTGGGACAAATTTCTTACTGCTTTCTAAAATAATTTTCTAATACAAGAATTTCTAGTTCAAAAATTTTTTGTGCTATAAAGCTTCTTTAAAAAAAATAAGAAAGTTGTCCCAAATGAAACCTAAATCGACAAACTTTTTGTTCAAATTACTGTTTGTTATTTGGCTTCTATGGGAAAAAAAATAAGATTGTCCTTTTCTCTCTCCCTTTTCTTTGACAGAAACGATGGAATTCATCAAAGGGACGTTTGTGTATTGCTTATTAACTTTCACATGATACAATCTTTGGGAATACCATAAACTAGATAAATCATAAAAGACAATTTATTGATTTCATGTTAACTTTAACATGATACACTCTTTTGGAATTGTATATACTTCTTGATTTCTTATCTATATCCAACTTCCTTTCTGATATTATAAATCAATCATCCAAGATAACATATGAATGAGGCTAATATGTCAATAGCTTGATGCTATTCAGTTTGCAGTTCCGGCAGCTGTTGCTGATGAGGAAGCAGAAACGGTGATGTTTCCCAGGTAAACCTTCATATATTTGACTGATATCTTTCTACCAGATAAATCTAACTGAAACAAGGTATTACAGATTAAATATTATAAACTCTATATGCTATAATTGATGGCATTATTAGGCTTTCAATTCAAACGTGATAAAAGGAAGTATGGTGCAACCCTACTTTACCCATTATGTGAAACATCTTTGCATCTCTAATTACCCTTTCACTGAATCAATTGTTTATATCAAGTTCAAAGTCTCTTAGCTTTTTTATTCTCAATTAAATTGTTAATTAAGATACAGGGCACCTAATCCTTGCTAAGGTGTCTGAGGGCATCGTTAATTTGAATGCTCTTCTTCTCTTGTTTGAATTTGTTTATTCCAGTACAAACTTACTAGCCTTTTCCCGTTGAAAAGTATAATATTTAAATTTTCAAGTGAACATCTTAACCTTTGATGTTTATGAAGACCCAAGCAGAAAACTTTCAGAACTCAACTCTAATGTGTATCACTGATTCTGTCCATAGCTAACTTTTATGATATCTCCGTGCAGGGAGGGTTCAGGAGTCTCATATGGGTTAAACTGGGCTTTAGCAGGGAGAGGTGTTATTGTAAAGGATAAAGCTTATTACAATTTGAAGATGTCGGAGCTTGAAAAACTTGGGACAGGAAAAATAGGTAGAATTTATATTTCACCTTCCATATTGCAAGATTATTGAGGGATTGTTTGGTTGGCTGAAAAAGGAATGCGGTGTAAAAGAAATATAATGTATTTGAAATATTTTGGAGTTATTTGGATGAGTGTAAAATAAATGCAGGTTTTTACTTTTTTTGTTTGGCTTGAAGTAAATTGAATGCAGTGTAAAGTTCAAAATGGTGGTGGTTGACAACGGTTGGTCTGTGGTGGCCAACGATTGTCGGGGGGCGGCCGGTGGTGGTCGGCGGTGCTAACCTAGGGGTGGATGGTGGCGGGTGGTGATGGCCGGCAACGGGCGGCAGAGATGTCGGCCAATTGTGGCAATGGCGGTGAGTTTTAAGTGTATTTAGAAATCGTCTAGATCGGAGAAATTTCAAATACACTTGATTTGAACTAGATGATGAATTCCTTTTACTTCAAAATTTTACTCTGCATTCCTTTTATTTCAACAATACACCAATATTTTTAAAATCTCTGTAGTTGGATTACTTTACACCTCTTTTACAGCAAACCAAATAGATCCTGAGTCAATTTGCGGTCATTTTGAAAGTTTACAGGAGTTACATTTTGAAATATGCAGAATCTATGTCGGGCCTTCCACTTTATATGAGAGGCAATACAACTGGAGGGACTCCTGATATTTCGAAGGTTCAATTTGGTAAACTTCTGAAACAGGTATTTTCCAATCTGGTTGCATTGAATAGTTTTTTTTTTTTATACAGTGTTTATGCCTTGTCTCATTGTCTTGTGTTGATGTTCTTTACTTATCACTTCAATTTGGAAGCTTTAGCTGCACTTGTTAATATTGGTTTTAGAAGCTTGATATTTTTTATATTTCCCCCCTTTTCATGAGCATTTTCTGGTCTTTCTATTTTATCTTTAAGGTGCTAGTATTTAAAAACTTGAAATTAGCTAATTTTATTTACATGGATTTATTGCTCAAAGAATATTCATAACTTTTATTTTCATTCGTCCTTTGTCTTATTCCAACCATATTGGTTAGGCTTTATGAGACAAGCTTCATCGATGTAGCCAATAATCATGGGTGATTTATCTCTTTTATTTATCCAAAACTTGGAATTTGACTCTTAACATGACATAATGGAGAAAAATGATTCATGTAACCGACCCCACGTAGTGGGATAAAGACTTGATATTATTGTTGTAGTATTTATCCCAAACTTGCACGGTGATAAATTTCTTTTGGCCTTAAAGCTGGCAAGGTTTCAAATTTTATCTGAGGCACCTCAAATTAGGATTTTTTTTTGGCTGTTTCTGATTGTTTGAAATACTTAATTTTTATTTACTCATAATGCTGTAACCTTTGAATTACATATGACATCCAAGTATAAGTTAGAATGCATGATACATTGTGACTTTGACTCAACGAATCATGTTACTGTAAATTTTGAATCATCAAAATTTTATGGCAATCTATGGATACTTGGACGATGCACTATCAGCAATAGGGTACAACGGTACCTAAAAGAGTGTAAGACATTGACCTGAATTGGACATGACGTTTAATAAAACATCTATACTTAATATAAACTGTTCGCTTATACTTAATATAAACTATTTGCTTAGGAAAAAATGATGCGGAAACCCCAACTTTCGGGTTAAGGTTTCATTCTTCATAAGGTAGATTAATGTTTAATTAATCAAATTTCCCTCGATGTTTATGTCTGGGTTTATTTAGATTTGTGGTCTCTAACTTCTTATGAGCGCAAGCCTTCATTGTTAATTACCCCTCCATTTGTGGGAGAGCACTCTCAATTAAGGATGCGTTTCTATGATATGGTTTTAAATTTAAGCTTAGATTTCTAGGCTTTGTGTGGATTAATGAGAGATGTTTGTGGAGGATGGAGGTAGACCTGATTAAGATCTCATGATCTCATCATCCCGGGAATATCAATGATCTCAATCTACAAACATTAACGACCCTTTTAACAATCATGGGTTGCCTCCTCTTAAGGATCTAGAGTAGATCAAGGTGACTATATATATGTTAATTTATTATGGTTTTTAAGTGTTTAATTAATTTGGTGGGTGAATATTATAAAAGATTGCTTGAATACAAATTGAGTTTGGGCTTTTAGATATTGTAAGGCTTGAATTTGATTAATTTGTGTCTTATATCCATTGGAATGACCGAATTTGATTAATTTGGGACTTATATCCATTGGAATGCCCGAACTTGATTGGGTTGGGGTTTATTGCTCTATTTGCGAGTTGACAATATTGTTGGTCTTATAACTTATCATTATAGGCGAGTTTGTCTGATAAATTTGGTTTTGTTGAGGTCTACATTCATCGGAATGCTAAAAGTTGATTTGCGGGGCTTACGTCCATTAGAAGATCAGATAGTTTGTTTGGGATGAGGCATCTGTCTCTTAAACTATTCAATAAATTTGGATATGATTTACATCTATTGGAAATTCGAATTTGGATTTAGATAGGATTTATATCCTTATTTTTTGTGTAAGATGTTTCTATACTAATTTCTAACTTGAAGTCCTTAAGTCAATTAGGATATAACATAATTTGTCCCATATCCTCAACTTTTAAGTCTATTTAGAAGAGTCAATATTATACCTAATCCATTAAACAAGTATTTGGTAAATAATTTTGTATGGATTCTGATATATTTAGGTCATTAGTAGCTTGATACCTTTCTTTAGTTTTAAAATTAAATAACAACTTTTAGCTACATATTATGCAATATTTGACAATATTTATTTGTTTGATTGCAGGTGTTAGAGTTAACATTAGTTGGGAGTCAATATTTCAGTTAGCGCTGTTATAGTTTAGATAATTGGATTATTTTGATAGACTCATTTTAATTCAAAGACACTTATATTTAAGATTTCAGTACATTAACGTGATTTTTTATCTGTCATTTTATCATCTTTATTTAAAATAATATAATTATAATGATTTCTCTTTCTTTCTTTTATTATTTTTTAAGATGTTGCTACAAATTATTAGAAATCAAATTATGACGTTAGGATTTTTGCTTCATGACCGCTATTACAACATATATATTACTTTTCTATTGAGCTAATATGGCAATCCATATTACTTATCTATTGATTATAATACGCATAACTAAGATTTTATGTAGCTTATTATACCCGTATTTATGATTAGACTATCCTAAATAACCCAAATACATGAGGGGTAAATTACTAATTTTAAATATATTATTATTATTATTATTAATAATAAATTAATTATGATTGTTATTTCTTAATTAAAATTTGGCATCCTTGCGGCATGTCCCCCATATATGAGATGTTAGGTAGGCATTTACCTTGTTCTTCCCGGTCGGATCAAAGATACGATGGATGCGGGCGGGGTCTTCATATAATTTATTTTTCCTGACCGGATCAAAGATACAACGAACGTAAGATCTTCATATACTTCTCATGGTCGGATCAAGGATATAATATATGTGAGGTCTTTTGTACTTGTCTTTTGAAGCGAGAAAGAAAAAGTTATATCTTCACGTACAACAAGTGACGATGAGTTTACGAAGGTCATATATAAAACATTTATATATATTTTTTCCTTTTTTATAATAATGATAGTAATAAAAATAGAGAGAGATTGAATCATGCATAATAGAGAAATTATGAAAGAGCAAGAAATTTTCTCTCTTTTTTTGAGAAGAGAGATATTCTCTCTAAATTTTAGAGAGAGAGGAACTTAGGCCAGTAAGGGCATCGAGACTTGCTAGTGGCAGTTAGATTGATTGGGCGGTTAAGCTTGGCTGCAAGTAGCTAGCAACGACTTGTGGTGGGTCGAATAGAGAGGAGGTAGGTTAGGTGTGCTCCTTCCCATTCTCTCTATACCACACACAGGAGCCCACACCAAGCCACTCCCTCCCCTAATTGGATCATTTGTTATTATGTAGCGTAGGTTTAATGCTATTAAATATTGTTCAGATAAAAAAATCAAATTAATGGAGCCTATATATTTTACATATTATTTATTTAATATTATTTAATCGTATTTTACATATTATTTATTTAATATTATTTAATTAAGATTCATTTGATTGAGATTATACATTACAGTGAGATTTAAAGTGAGTTGCAATTTATGTGTCCACTAGTTTAAAAATAACTTAAGATATAGGTTGTCAGATTAACTCATTAAAAAATTAACATATATGATGTAATAATAGTCATGAAGCAAAAAATTTTAAGCACAATAATTTAACTTCAAATACTTTTTTAGCAACATTTTCAAAAATAAAAAAAGAAATAGGAAAAAAATCTTCATTGTTGTATTCTTTTAAATAAAGATGATAAATGACATATAAAAAAAAATCATGTTAATGTATTAAACTTTCAAATAAGTGTCTTTGGATTAAAATGAGTCTTATTATAATAGTCTAGTTATCTATACTATAATGACACTAACTAGAATATTGGTTCTCAACTGATACTAGCTCGCTCTAACACCTATAAGAAAACTAATATATATTGTCAAGTTTTGCATTATTTGTAAAAATTGATATTTAATTCTAAAACTGAAGAAAGGTATGAAACCATTAATTACCTACATATATCAGAATCCATGAAAATTTTTTTATCAAACACATGTTTAATGGATTGGTCAAATACAAATAATATTAACTATTTTAAATAGACTTAAAAGTCGAGGCTATGAGTCCAATCATGCTATAACCTAGTTGACTCAGTGAGTCATAGTTACAAATTAGTATTGAGACATTTTACACAAAAAAATATGAATGTAAATCCTATTTGAATTCAAATTCGGCTTTCCAACGGATGTAAATCTTATCAAAATTTATTGGATAGTCTAAGAGATACAAGCCTCATCCCAAATAAACTATCGAGCTTGTTAATGGATGTAAGCCCTATTAAATCAACTTTTAGCATTCCAAGTAAATTTACTATTAGTCAAATCTATTGGACAGTCTCGCCTATAGGATTAGGTTGTAAGACCCACAACATTGACAACTTGTAAATAGAGCAATAAGTCTCAATCTAATTAAATTCGGGCATTCCAATGGATGTAAACTCTAAATTAGTCAAATTCGAACATTCCAATAGATGTATGCATCAAATTAATCAAATTTGGGCATTTCAATGTCTATAAGCCTAAACTCAAATTGTATTCGAGCTTAAATATATATATATATATATATAGCCAATTCGGTCTACTTAGGATTCTTGAGAAGAGGCAATCTATGGCTTCTAATCAGATTCCCTGATTATTACGGTATATGGGTCGTTAACGGTGGTAGATTGAGATCGTTGGTATTCCTGGGCGACGGAACCATGAGATCTTAATCGGGTCTACGTCCATCTCCTACAAACTTCTCTCATTAACTCAAAAAAAATTCTAAAACACTAAGCCTAAATTTAAAACCATATCGCAAACATAGAAAAGTAATTGAAAATTATTACATACTTCTAGATTTAAAAAAAAAAAACAGTCGTTTTCATCAGGTCAAATTATTTTTAATCAATCAAGGAAAATCATAATTTTCATAATTAGAGGAAATGGTTTGTATGCAGGATACTAATCTGTCTAGCACATTGCAATATATCTAGAGGTGTCTAGGAAGAGCTTGTCAAAGAAGTCTCAAAGTTTTACTGAAAATAAAATGAAAACATCGAATGCCAAATATTGTGTCCTACATGATACAAGGCCTACGCGTCATTCTATTATCCTTCCTGGTGTATTGAGAGATTTCTTATGGCAAAATTGGTTGGTGACAATTTTCTAATATAGAACATCTAAATAGACGTCATGAAGGCCCCATTTGGCAATATTGTCCTGCATTGTGTTTTTTTGCTTGCTTGAGTACAGAGGATGTTTGTTTGGTAAATTTGTTGTTATTGTTGTTGTATGAAGTGTTGTTAGAGATGAGCCTGCTTGGTAAAATCAGATATGTTAAATGTTAATATCATGAATTGGTAAATGACCAAAACATAAATGAGTGCAAAATAAGATGAAGTCAATTGATAGAATCATTATGTGTATGATTAGCGATTAAATACTTCTCCAACAAATTCTCAGGATTAGTTATTAACAATAAAAAAGCGGTCTATCGACTGCATAGGGCTCTCCCTATTGCAAGGTTTAGGGAGGGTTTGATATACATATCTTGAAATCTTGATTTTTTACATTACTCGAATTGTATATATCTATATTACACTAGAGTCAACTTAATTGCTCCAAGTCCTAGTTGATAATTAGCAATCCATGAAATGACTTAAATAAGTACTTATTACTGGAGTCAAATATGTTTTGTAGTGATAATAGGAAGTATTTTTTAATGAATAAAAGAAGTTTAGTTCCAAGAGTACTTAAAATACAAGCTAATTTAACATGCAATACGAATTAGCGGGACCCCATTAAAGTCCTCAATCAAATTATAACATGCTAACAAAACAAACACTTTACCCATTGATATGTCCCATTAATTAATTAATGCAAATTGATCCCGAAGTGGCTAGTTAACTTGTGTTTCCCCTCATATTCTTCTTTATTTTATTGGCTAACTGAGTCTCTGCAACTTGACACGCATTCAAATCATATTATTAAAAATTTGTAATACCAATCATCATGGGATTAACCCTCAGCTGTAAATGTTAGTTGGAACATTATATGGAAGTGAAGGAGAACATTATGATTAATCTTTCTTTACATAAATATTACAATATAGAATTTGTAATCAAAGTTCAATTAAAAGCATTTCTTTTTTTTCTTTTTTTTGTTCCAAACCTAATGCCATGTATTCTTGGCGTCATTACTAGTTGCTTTATGGATTCTCTACCAATATTGGACAAAAAATGAATCGGTGTCATATTTATGGAGGAACAACTTTCTTTCTTTGAAAATATAAAGCTAGACAAACCTTTTGTTTTGAAGTAAGAAAGAGGCAACACCTTCATGGAATGGTAAATTCCACGGCAGGAAAAGAAAGAGCAAAACATCTAAAAGCCATAAGAGATGGTTATCCTGACATTAAGAGCAAATATTTTAGTATGGAATGGACAGGTCTTGGATAGAGAAGGAATATACCTTTATTTTGTGAGCTTCAAGGTATTGTGAAGCCACTGGTTGGTGCTAGATGTCAATATGCCACCATCATTTAGCTAGTAGAACAGTGTGCTCAGGTGTCTAGGTTTTGTAAGGTTTGAGGGATTGAAGAGGTGGGTCGTGTAATTAACAGAAATGAATGAGGGCATTTAGGAGAAGATGATGATATTGCAGGGGATTTAGAATTCCCAACAAGGTTATTTTTCATAAAATTTTAGAAAAGTTTATTTTAGGAAACCTCAAGCAACTTCATCTCACTACAACTAGCCAAATGCTTAGTAAATACCTAATCTGCCATTGCTGTTCTAAAATTCTTACACAGACAGCATAAAAAATTATTGATAAATAGGGCCTAAATTTATATGACGAAAAGTAATATGGTACCTAATTGGAAAATTCAGTAAATTTTGCCACATTTAACCGTGCATTATGCATATAAAGTTACTACCTTATCTCCAATGGGTAGTCTAGTTTGAGTACTAAAATTATGAGTTTTTTGAACATATGGTAAGAAACTTTGAGGATTTGATATTTCTGGTTTCCAGAAAGTAGGAGATGCTTTATTTTTGTTGAATGCTACCATTAATCACCTTTTCTATTTTGCTTGTTTTGTCACTTTTTAATAAAAAAAGCTGGTGATATTTAGGTTTTGTTTGTGATAGCTTTCTTACTGCTATCTAAAGCATCCTGAAGCAGTTCTCTAGTACAAAAATGTCTAGTTTAAAAAAAAATTGTACTAAAAAGCTGCTTTAGAAAGCAGAAAAAAAATTATCTCAAATGAAGCCTTAATCTCTAACTTTATTTATCTATGTTTTAAAACAAACTTTGCAGTTTTGCTTATAGGTATGCTCAACCATAAATAACTAATTAACTAAGTAGGATGTCTCTTTATCGTTCTTAGGCTATGCTGGTTGATATATATATATATATATATATATATATATATATATATCACTTCCATCTATTTATTTCAAGTTACTAAAGTGAAGTTGAAACTTTAATTGTTATATGATGTTTAAGTGGACAATGAGTTAGAATATATGTATGCTTAGTTTTTAATTTGATTTGACTGATAGCAGTGAATGGTTATATTGATAAACTTTGCAGTGAAAGATTATGGTATTGTTTCATTGGCTCATATTATGTTCTTTGTCCTTTTTCAAGGTTGCATCTCACATTTCATCTGTCTCGAGTATCTTTGTTCAAGACGGCGCTATTTCTTCATCTCCGACATTTGATGCAAAGGTCCGCATAATAAGTGATAGTTCCTCTGCTTTATTGCCACTTGCTGATATCCTCTGGAAAACACCTACTCGGGCAGTTTCACATGATTCTTCTCCACTAACTGTTTATATTGCTAGCTCTATAAGGTAGGTAGTCAATTCAACTCTTTTGTTGAATTTCATTTTTTTAAGGAAGCATGCTACTGGTTTTTCTAATAACTTCAAACAGAATCTGTCTTATTTTATTGCATTGGTTGAAGGCTTTGTATGGTTAACTATAACAGTAATTTTTGCTTGTATGGATATGATAATGTTCTAAATGAGATGCGTTATGCTCTATATTGCAAAGGAAGTTATATTAACATCATCCAGCATTTCATTGCTATTGTTTCTATTCCTCTGGGAAGTGAAAAAGCATCATTTTTCTGTTCCGGTAAGAATATTCTCTGGCAGATATTAAAATTTTGAATGAGTTCCCCATTAGAACATAAGGCAATATACGCTCATGCAGTAGGACAAATGCATCTTGGTCCAACATTGGCACTTTTTTCGACTGATATCCTTGCCAAATGAAATCCTTTAAAGGGAGGGCCTAGTAAGGTATGCCAGCCTTTGTTTAAGAATTCTTCAGTTTGTAGGCCTCTAGGCTTTAGCAATGTATTCTATACCACTGTAAATTTAGTATGATAGTTATAGATGTGAAAGTTTTTGTTTACATTGAATTTAATATACAGAAATAAGGATGTAATTTCTAAAATTAGGGCTTCAAGATTAAAATAAAAAAGTGCCCTTGGAGTGCTATGCGATAAAATGATTCCATGAACTTAAAGGTAGAGTTCATCAATTTTTCAGACTAAAATAAAAAAGTGCCCTTTTGAGTGCTATGAGATAAAATGATATCATGAACTTAAAGTGCCCTGAAAAAGCAATTTTTCAGGATATGGTATATGGATCAGAGTCAATGATAGTGAAGTTGATTATAGTAGAAATGATAATATTAAAATGGATGGGTAATGAAACTAGAAAGGATAAAATGAGATATGATTATATTAGAGAGATGAGAAAAGTGACACTTATTGAAGATAAGATATTGAAAAATATATATGGATGATTTTAGCATGTATTATAAAGGGTCAAAGGGGCACCGATTATCAAGTAAAAGTGGTAGACTAAAGGTTAATAGCTAGACGTTATGTAAAAAAAATTGACAAAGTAGAGTTGATGTCTCTTGAAGCAATCTACTTGAATAGATGATAAGGAGTCATATATCTGATCTCAAGTAGGATTATGATGGTGATAATAAGGATTGTGATGATGATAATGATGAATCAAGAAGCTAACCCCAAGTAATTGAGATTAGACTAATGATGATGAAAATAAAGATTATAATGAACCACATTTGACAATATAGTTTTTAAAAGAGATAAATGGATATGACAATTAGAATTGGTTCCTAATGTTACGGTATGTGATGCAAGTGATTAGTAGTACGGATGCTGATGAGGCTAATTATGATCGTCATTCAACCGACCTCAAACAGTTGGGACAAGATGTGAACCTTGTCAGGTAATATAACTTTTGAAGACAATTATTTCTAACTACAACCTACCAGCTAAACATTTGTTCCAAATGGATGCTGTAGTTTAGAATTGTCATGCCACATGTTTTACTTCGGTGGTCTAAGTGATGTGGTAATATGAATACTATTCATGTGATAGAAATTGATTTTGATGTAAAGGACACTTTCATGTGAGGGTGGGATAGTATATGATGGAGTTGCATTATTATATTTCTACTACATGGTATCCATCCTGTGGCTTAAGCTTTAATTGATTGAGTGTTACTTGACTACTATTATGCTAATATATTGGTTATAACTTGGTCCTCAGTTATCTACAGCTATAGATTCTTGGTTCAACTCCACCTGAGAATTAATTTCCATGAAATATATGGTGTTTCTGTGCTTTTGTCAAAATGGGCTTCCATGTATGGATATTTTAGGAGATGAAATTATTGATGGACGGGCTAAAATTTATCAGCATATATCTGCTAACTACCATAGGTACCAATGATCAAATGTAAAGTTTGTTTTATTCATTTCTGATGTGCTTATACCAAGTGAAGAAGATGCACATTAATGGTAGCATTGCAACATATTCATGATCAAGCCCATATCAAATTATAGGGAGCATGCCAACTCTTCAATAGGGATACATGGATATTTATATGTTATATGTATGTATATATATATATAGCATTGCAACATATTCATGCTCAAGCCCATATTAAGTTATACGGAGCATACCAACTCTTCAATAGGGATACAGGGATATTCATATGTTATATATATATATATATATATATATATATATAAAAGAAAGATTTTCAACTTAATGCTACATGATTATCTAGTTTAGTATTATGAAGAGCAGATTTGCTTGCTCTTTTAACGGACTAAGGATGATAACTTTCATTTATGATAACTACTAAAGCAAGTATAACTAGAGGCTCCTATACATAATACACACATTTATGTTGATAGTCCAACATGCAAAGAATTCCTTGCAACTCTCCTGGTACATAAAAAGCATATATGTTAACTGGCACTAATATTAATTTGAAGAACGGAACAGTTCATTACAGGGAATTATTTACATGGACTATTGACATAAAGAAAAATATTCTGAATAATGGATTGATCTATTTTATTTTTTTAATTTAAATCGCCTTCCCTATGGAGCTAGCAATGCAGTAATGCTCATGGACGGAGCAAATTTATACAATATATAATATTGTGCTATTATCTAAGGCTACAGGGAACTATCTGAACTTGCTTATATGAAACATAATTAGACGTGTTTAGAGTACTTAACATTACAAGAAACACAGTTATGGATGAGCATGGACATAGGTAGCTAGTGGTTAAGCGGTTAATAGATGCTGTCATGAAGGCACTTATCACAGTGCCCATCATATGACATGAGTTTACATCGAATTAGGTAAGTTGATTTATCTGCTTTTTATTCAAACTAAATATTGTTTGTTCTGAACTATCTATTTGTCATTTTTCAGTCAAACAAAATGATAGAAAACGCTTCTAGGAATAAGAGTTTTCTTTGCTGAATTTGAATTTCAACACCTGCAAAAACAGATTGGAGAAGAATTTGGAAGAGATAATTAGAAATAAATATTTTTAATTGATAAAAGATGAAAGAAAACGAACAAGATACAATGGATCCTTAATTGTAGAGGAGGATCCGTCTCTCTCAATCTCTAGCCGGCAGCCAGAGCCCAAACAAACCCTTGAACTCTCCAAAATTCAGCAAAAATTAAGATAACCCTAACGCTAGACAATCTCATTTATTTAAAACATAGAAATACAACCATAATTTACTAAACATCCCCTCCCTAAATAATAACCTACCTAAACTGCCCATTCGTATTCATGTACTGGGCCCCACAATGGGGCCGGTGGCTGCAATGCCGCAGGGAAATAAACCAGCCCCCTAGGATGGTTCGGCCATCCCACCTAGATCGGTCCCGATCTATCAACACCCTCCTCCCAAAGAGCAACCTTGTCCGCAAGATGGAAATATAACTCCATCCTCAACTTCCTCATTATCACAAATGGTGAGAACCTAAAGAGTTTGATCCTTACATATGTGCCTCGATGTATACCTGTCCTCACATCTGAAACAGAGCCCCTTTACCCTCTTCTCTTGTAACTCCGTTTCTGTGAGCTTCTTGAAGTTGTCCCGAGTCTTCCACCGATAGTCTTTTCCTTCGGGGACTCCCGAAGGATACCCGGTATCGACTCCTTGGATGCAAAAAATGTGGTGGGCATCCTGTACGTGCCTCCTGAGTTGTTGCCTTCCATCTCTCTTCAGGTGCCTCTGATCCTTCACCAATTGAGCTAGCTCCATAGCCTCTCCCAAGTCACGAAGCCTCATCACTCTAATCGCTGTCGGAATCTCTAGTTTCAGTCCCTTCATGAAGTTCCCTTCTAGCATGGTCAAAAAGGAGGTTTAATCGGCTAGCAAGGTACTCGAACCTCTCCCTGTACTCTATCACTGAATCATCTTGTGTCAAGGCGAAGAACTGCTCATAGAAGTCTCCTCCCCTGTTGGTTCAAAATCATTCTAAAATGCAATCCTTGGAACTCCCTAAACTCCGTATGGGTTGTCGCATGTCCCTCCACTGATACCAAACCAAAGCCTTCCCTTCCAAGCATAGGCCAGCTGTCATCAATCTCTCCTCCTCTGTCAATCCATTAACAATGAAATATCTCTCTACCTTGTAGACCCACCCGTGTGCATCCTCCCCCTTAATGATTGTCATATTCAGTTTTCTCATCCTCAGATCTCATCCGTTACCCCTTCTTCCAAAGTTTCCCATTTCTCAAGGGGGTGGTTCCCCCCAGTTGTGCCAATCACCCCTTCTCCACTCGCACCAAAATCTTTCATCACAAGCCCACCTTCTCCCTTAAAATTTAACACCCCTTTGATCATATTCAGCCCCTCTCCTTTTAATATCAACCTCTTCAATCATAATCATGCCCTAGTCTTTCAAATTCAACCACTCTCCTTTCAAATTCAACACCCCTCCACTCACGTCCAACCCCCTCACACCTCTCCACATACCCTCTACCCGACTCCTCTAGGGTAGGCATTTTTTCTATTCCTTCCGAAATCTCCACCTTCTGATCTTTTCTATGTCTGATTGGCTTAGGGTTTTTCCTACTTCCCTGACTGTCAATGACTTACCTCATCTCCGACAGTATTTTTTTTGTTTGGCCCTCGAAGACTTTCTTCAATATCTCCTTCAGGATGAAAAATTTTGAATCGATTTTATCATTAATGACTGAAATAACTTTTTTTTTTTAATCTAAAACTAGAGTTTGGAGATCTAAAATTTCAAATTTCATTTGTTCGATCTTCTCTTGCAATACTTTTACATTTCTTCCCACCATGGGTCCCCAGATTTTTGTTAGGCTCAAAAATCCGGATTTCCTCCTTAAAACAGCAAAAACCTCAGTCGAAAATAGAAAAATTTGCTGCAGGAATTCTCTAAAAATAGCCCAGAAGCCACTCAATATCAATTTGATAGAAAATGCTTGTAGGAATGAGAGTTTTCCTTGCTGAAATTGAATTTCAGCCTTCATAAAAACAGATTGAAGAAGAATTTAGAAGAAATAACAAGGAATAAACCTTTTTAATTGATAAAAGATGGTAGAAAACGAACAAGATATAATCCTCAACTGGAGAGGAGGATCCGTCTCTCCCAATCTCTAGCCGGCTGCTAGAGTCTAAACAAACCCTAGGAACTCTCCAAAATTTAGCAAAATTCAAGATAACCCTAACCCTAGACAATCTCATCTATATAAAGCATACAAATACAACCTTAAACTACTAAACAACCCCTCCCTAAATAATAACCGGCCTAAACTGCCCCTTCATATTCAAGTATTGGGCCCCACAAGGGGGTCGGTGGCTGCAATGCCCGCACGGAAATAAACCAGCCCACTGGGCTGGTTCGACCAACCCACCTAGGCCAGTCCCGATCTATCACATAAACATCCTTGTTCCAACATGGTTAGCTTGTTTTCATCCGGCTATTTGGTCCTTTTTTAAAGCGGAACTAAGCCATACTTTTTTCCAACATGGCTATTGTCCCTGTATTTATATACCAATTTTTTCTTATGTGCATTTCTTTTAATTGTGTAGGTATTTTGTGTAATTTTGTGTTTCATGTATGCATGGGTGAGTTTGCATAGAAAGTTTCTTGTATTTTTTTTTTTATAACTTAACATAGAAATTGATATTATAATTTGGAACATGACTATTACACTTTGTTTTCATTAACTGGATTCTAAAATTCTATCATGTACGGATGGTTCCATTTGCTTTTTGAAGAGCATTGTTTCCATCATGACTGAAAAACTTGAAACTGCGGTGTTAATATCATATGTCGCTTAGTAAATGTATGGAGAAAATGATCAAAGTAGTCCCTGGATTATTTATGGCGGGCTATTTTAGACTTTGGCTATATGAGGTGCCTTATTTAGTCACTTGACAACTTCTTAAATGTGATCCAAAATAGTCCTGTGACTCAAATCTGACCCAAAATAATCCAACATAATGATTATGTTGAATCATATTTGAGGATTTATGGGACTAAATTGAGGGACTAAACTATTTGAACTGAAGTTTTCTGGATTGTACAAATTAGAATGTTTCCTGCTGGATCATAATTTTATTTGACCTAGAAAAGGCCTGATAAATGTAAAGGAAGTATGGTTTTACCTTTTTTTAAATCTTCAATTTTAATTTGAAAATTCCAATTCTTTCACCAAAGACTACTATTGTTTGGTAGATCTCTTCGTTGAGTAAGATTGAACGTGTAGGATTTATTTATCCCGGTCTAGATTTAACAATTAAAAATTTTGTAATTTTTCATGGCCAGCCTGATTATGAAGTGTTAACCATTTTTCAAAGGTATGTCTTTTAGCTTTTTAGTAAGGAAGCGCCTAAGCTAGGGCCTTGATTATTGACATATTGTGCCATCCTCTAAATTTGATGGCTAAGTAAATCCCAAGACTATCACCCTCATATATTTAGCATTGTCATGTAATTTAAAGACATTTTTATGCAATTGAATGTATGCAAGCATATAGTATGGGTCTAATTTAATTCTAGATATTGGGTTGTTCCTTTAGGCCATTTTATACCGGTCTCAACCTAGCTCATGCCTAAGGATTTATCCGACCAAAGCTTCTGTCCTATCCTATCAAGCTTGGGCGAATGGATTAAGCATTTTGAGCTTTCCAAATAAAACATTCCTAGCATTCACAACGGTACTGCCTTCTCCTATGCAAGGATTTGCACAACTAATTTTTTGAATGGTATATGATATTGAATAACAAGCATATGTGAAAAAAGTTTCCAGCTGGTAATTATAGATTGTTTGTCCAATTTTATCTTTTTACAAAGTATGACCCTGCAGTTCATCCAACACTTGACTTAGAGCTGGCCTTACACAGGCACAACATGAATGATTCTCATTTTTTTGCTTTGCTTCCTTTTTGTTATGCCCCAATGCAGCTTATAAAAGGCCATATTGAATTATACCCTAACAATAATAAAAAAAAACATAGAGTACGAAAACTAAAGCACAGGTGCTATTTCTTATGCTTCGGTAGTGCAACTCTGATAATTATCCAATTGAAATCAAATTCAACAAATGTACTGTTATTATAAGGAAAGTGTTAATGATAAAAGGTTGAGCAATCAACAATTAAGTTATTTATTGTTTCCAGCAAATTAGTTAATATTATCTCAAAATGTTTATAGGTTCCATAACTGATCATTTATTAAGATTCCAGCGAATTCGCTAACATCATCTTAAAATATTTAAATGTAAATGCTAAAATCACATAATTGTCTTATGAACCCACAAAAATGGTATCTATGAATTTGTAGCTTGATAAATATCATGCAGTCTTTGTATGTTGGAACTTTTTTTTGGTTGCCATATTTCAACCATTTGTCTTTATGAACCCCTTATACATTACTATGAAATTGTGCAACCAGACCAAATGTAATTATCTTTAATTTTGTATGTGCTACTCTTTTGAATACCCAAGAAATTGATTATGGCTTTTTCTTGATTTTTATCTATTCATCTGATTCATTGTTACCTCATTTATGACCTTTTTTGTGTTTCTTTTCTTTTACAGCTCAAAAACTGGGGAGAATATTGGCTTCAGCCCAAAACCAACTACGGCATTTGCTGCTGCTGACATTGAGCGTTCATCTCTCATTTTGTGTGGTAATGCTTTTGCTGATGTAAATATTATTAAGGATGCTTTGTCAGCTCTAGCTGCTCCTATAATCTCAGCAAGGGGGGGTCTTCCTCTTCTGGCAAGGTATGAATTATTTTATTCTTCTCTAGCTTGAAACTTTTCATTATATTCTTAATTACTTTTGAATGATACTTTTGTTAGGATTCTTGTGTCTGGTAATTCTGTCATTCTATTGTTTGCACCTGAAGATACCATCAAGAGTAGCTCAGATCTCCATGGAACACTACTTTCAATGGATGCTGGAGTGGTTCTCTCTTCTCATGGGGTTATGCCATTCTTCCAAACAAAAGACCGGACTGTGCCTAATGTGCTCAAGAGGCCTGCGGCTATTATCTTTGCATCTGCTGACAGGTAGGTAAAAGTTTTCTAATGCTTTTGTTTTTAAGGAGACATATTTAACATTTCATCTATGAGAGATTTTGCATACATTTAGTGACTACTACATCTTTCTTCATCAAGGCATTCTTTTATTCCTTAATTTTTTTAGCTCATTCTTAACGATTTTGATATAATTGTAACTCATGAGTTCTGTGCATATTAGCGTCATTGAAGACATTAAATCTACCTTTTATTTGAGTAATTATTGCTATAATATTGTAAGTATTGAGCCAATCATACTGTCAAGGATTTATTTTGGAGAATGCCTCAATAGAAATGAATGGTAAAGAAAATTTTATAAATGCACTCCTAAAACTTCACTATTGAACTTTAACTAGCAAATAAAAACATAGGTCAGGAAAAGTAAACAATTAAAGTTTCCTTGCTAGCTTTTGTTGTGTATCCCTAAAACATCATCCAAAAGCATCCAACTTCAGTAAATATGTATTATATTTTGCAAAATACGAATTTTACATAGATGGGCAAAATATAACATCTAGCCGTGATGGCTAAAAGATGTATATGCATAAGATTGCTCCATGATAACATAATTAATTTATTCAACACTAGAATCAATCAATAAATCAATGCCATTCTTCTAATCACAGGTAACCTCACAGCCTAGGATGAATAAATGGGTTTAAATAGATCCACCCCCATTTGCACTAGAGCAGTAGAGTATTTCTCCCACTCCCCACAACTATTAGAAATCAACCCCATTACATTTATTGCTTGGTATCCTCACGAGGCGTCCCCCATTGATATTATCCAATATGCCCCCTATTGAAGTGTGAGTAATTGACTTCTTCATAATATTAAATATAACTTTTCCATCAAATCTTCTAGTCTCTTCCTTCAATAGGTTAAATTTTAAAAATGAGATGAAGAAATAAAACTTAACATCAACTAAATAACATGAAATATAAATAACTTAATTTGAAGTAAAATAAAAATAATAATAATAAATTGAAGATGAGAACAAAAGTTATAAAGATACTTATCCACTATAAAATCTTCAAAGATAATGGGAACACACATTCATGAAAATTGAGATAAAGTAAACAGTAGCTCTCAATTAACTTTTCATATTAGTTCAAAAATAAAAATAAAAATAAAAATGTCTAAGTGAATCTTGAAATCATTTCATAGATTTGCATCATTAAAAGTTAAGCTCTCAAATCCTCAATCAAAATCTTATGTCTCAAATGCATCGACATAATCACTTATAAATATTTCATGCTCCATCTCCTATTTTATTAAGGCATTGTCATCTGTAAAGTATAACTATAAAATATTATATCTTTATTAAACATTTCATCAAAATGAAATAGTTAATTCTAATTGACAATTAACTTTGAACATGTCTAGTACAAATAACATTCAGTTCTTTAAAAGTAGTATACTTTTTTTATAAATTTGTCTTTAAATTCTCTAAGATCAATTCTAGAACTGATTCATCATCAAGCATAAAAAAATTAACTATTTCAGTACTTGTGTAATCCAAATAATCATAATTTTTTTAGTTGGATCATATAAAGTTAATATGAATCATGATAAGTATATTACATATCCTTTTTAAAAATATATATTTAATTATAATTGAAGATCATATCCTCAAATTAATGTTATATCGAACAAATACAATATCATTGAGTATTTGATGTTTTAGATGATTTCATCTTTTCATGTGAATTTATTCAAATATACTTTAATTTCTTTCACATCCTTAAGATGAAAATGTTTGACCAAGAATCATATAGTCAAATTTTATAAATTTGGTGCATTTGAGTCAAATATCTTTCACCATTTATATATAAATAGTCAAATATTAGTTAGTTTAAAGGTGATTGACATTCACAAAATATCTAGTACATATAAAAAATTATTGTTCAACTTATCATGTTGCATTTTTTTGTAATTATCAATACAATAGATTTGTCAAAAGTTTCCGAGTTATCACAAAAAACTCTTAATCTCATTTATTGCTAATGATGGTTTAAAACATATATTTTTATTTTTAGTCAACTAAATCAAATACTACATCCCTTTAAGTTTGTGGTAGAAATTTTCTATCACATTGAAAATGAAGATTAAGTAAATAGACTGCTAAGTGTATGCGTTGTCATAGATGACTATCCAATCTTCTTTTTATAATGCTTTTGTATGATTTATACATTTTCATGACATTTTTGAATATGGTCTTAACAGCTTTTATTTCTCTATATATGTTATCATAAAGATATCCCAAAGAAGGCTTCTCATCAGAATTAACAATTCTTAACAACCTAATCAAAGGCTTAGATAATTTAGAAGTTAGTAGACAGTCATTTCAAAATTTTGTATCTAAAATAATGGGGGTTATTTCTTTTCCTTTAATTATTTTAGATAGCTTTGAATCAAAATATAATTTACTAGTTATAAATGCTTGCAAGTCGTGCATGTATTTATATATTTTTTTAAAGTAATAAATATTAAAAGAAATATAATTACTCTAGACCTAACAATTTCTTTTCATCCTTACTTTTTCCTTAACTAAGCCAAAATTAAAATATGATTGTAAATGAATATTATAATTTTTTAGACTCTTTTTACATATTTCTGAATGTGTTATGCTTTCAATATCTTTAAATATTAGGTTTAAGTAATGAGCAACATATGGTAACCAATATATGTTATCAAATCTTTCATGTAATAATTTTCATACCTTTTTATAATTGATGCATTATCAATTACAAGTTTCATAATATTATCTGGTATAACCCACTCGAAAACCTCACAAAATAAAGAACACAAAGTGGTGGCACCTTTTGTAACATCAAAAACATCAATATATTTCATAATTAGAAAATTTATGAATGTCATGTTTCTGTTATTCGAGCTGGCACTTTTTGTAACATCAGAAACATCAATATATTTTAAAAAAGAGATAACCCATAGACAAGACACAAGAAAATTTATCAATGTCATGTTTCTGTTATCTGGGGTATTGTATTCAAGAACATGTCACATATTCAAGAACATACAAAAATAACCTCAAAAATTATAGTATTCATTCACAATCATATTTTTATTTTAACTTGGTTGAGAAAAAAATTAGGCTGGAAGAAAATTGTTAGGTCTGAAGCAACTAGATTTATTATAACATTTGTCACTTTAAAAAGTATATAGGAGCACATGTACGACTTGCAAACATTTACAACTAACAAAGCATATTTTGACTCAAAGTTATCCAAAATAATAAAAGAAAATGAAGCAACCTACATTATTTTAGATACAAATTTTGGAATAAGCGATTGTTGACTTATAAATTATCTATATCTATAATTAGATTGCTAAAAATTATTGATTTTAATGAGAATTCTTCTCTGAGGTATTTTTATGACAGCATGCACAAAGCATGAAAGCTATTATGACTATGTTTAGAAATATCAAAAGAATATATAAACCATACACAAATATTATAAAGAGAAAATTGGATATTTAACTATAACAAGGCATACACTAAGCATCTTATTTTCTTAATCTCTATTTTCAATTTGATAGAAAAAATTTCTGCCACAGATCTGAATGATGCAAGTTTTGATTAAGTTGATTGGAAATAAAGATATATGTTATAACCATTATTAACAATGAATAAAGTTAGGATCTTTTGTGATAACTTAGAAAATTTTGGCAAACCAATTGTATTGACAATGAAAGAATAAATGAAACATAATAAGTTCAACAATAATTTCTTTATGTATTTGATATCTCGTGCATATCAATCACCCATGAACTAACTAATATTTCATTATTTGTAGATGAATGTTGAAAATTGTTTACTGAAGTATACCAAATTTGTCAAAAAATTAACTATTAGAATTCTTAGCTAAACATCTTCATCTTAAAGATGAGAAAGAAATTGGAGTGTATTTGAATAAATTCACACGAAGAGACGAAATTATTTGAAACATAAAAAAAATCAATGATGTATTTATTCAGTATAACCTTAATTTGAGGCATAGGTATGATCTTCAAATATATTTAAATATTTTTTTAAAGATGGATGTGCAATATATTTATCATGATTCATATTGACTTTATAGGTTCGTAACTTAAAAACAATTATGATCATTTAAGTATTAAAATTGTTAATTTTTGAATGCTTGATAATGAAACATTTCCAGAACTTGTTTTACAGGATTTAGAGACAAAAATTTATAAAAAGCATGCTACTCTACTGCTCTAAATGATTGAAGATTAGTTGTATTAGAGAAGCTCAAAGTAAGTTGTCAATTGGATTTAACTATATCATTTAGATTAATTATTTAATAAAGCTATAATTATTTTGTAGTTTACTTTACAAATGTCGATGTCTTAGAAAATATAAGAGATGGATATAAAATACTTGAAAGTGATGATGTCGATACATTTGAGGCGGAAGATTTTGATGAAGGGGGATTTGTAGACTCCACTTTTGATGATGCAAATTTAGGAGGTGACTTTATATTTACTTAGACATTTTTTTATGTGTGAACTGATATGAACAATTACTTTAGAGCTACTATTTATTTTATATTTCATGACTGTGAGCTCCCATTGTCTTCAAGAATTTTAAAGTGTACAATCAACTTTATAAATTTTCTTTTTCTCATTTTCAATTTATTTATATTTTTTTCTTATGTTCAACTTATGTTATTTGTATTTCATATTACTTAGTTGATATTAATTTCTATTTCTTCATCTCGTTTTTAGAATTTCACCTAGGAAAATACTAGAAGATTTGATGGAAAAGTTATATTTAATATTATGAAGAAGATATCAGTTACTCAATCACTTCATATTTTTTAATTTTAAAAAGAATTCTTTTAATTAATTGTGTAAGTTTTATGCTTCATAATTTTAGATTTTGTTTAATTTTCTATCCCATATTTGGAATGAATGCATCATTATATTTTAATAAAATTAGTATTTATTACGTGATCCAGTTGGACCATCAAACCGTAAACCTTTCCTTCTGGTTTGTCGCCCAATCCGATTTTCATAGCCTTGATAAACACACACAATTACCAGCAGCCCTATTTAGTACCATAGGAAGATAACTTCATTGTTTATCATGCACATGCAAACATTTTTATAGATTATCCTTTTTCGCATTCACATTAGTATACATTAAGTTTATTTGTAAAGAAAAAATGGCCTGGTATATTATAAAGCTTACATATATAATTGAAGCATAACCTGGCATCTACACATCATTCTTAGCAAATTGAAGTTCACTTGCATTATGATAGATAAATTAATATAAAACTATTCATCATAACATCATCTGTGAATCTATAAAAGAGCAAAACTCATAAAAATAATAATTAAATGCATCAGTTGAGGAGAGGATATTACATAAAAATATTATTTCATTGTAAAATGATATTACCCGGCTTCTGTATTTATTTGATGTTGTCAGGGATCTTTGATAATCGACTTCAAATTTAGATATGTATTTTATATATTTAATATAGATATTATTAATTATAACATAGAAAATGTTACTGATAATGTATTCATTGCCTTATTTTGGTCATAATAAAAATTAGGATCTTGTGCTAAGGATAACAATTAAGTGTTAAATGATGTATATGCAATTAGAGTATAAATGCACATATTCAACTCTTTCCTATCAAATCGATCATTTTACAAATATCAATCTCAATCAAAATGCTACGACACTAAATCATTAAAACCTAAGTTCTATGTATGTAGCTTTCGGCTACTATAATTCATGGATAAAATTTAAACCAATATTGTGAAGAAAAACTAGAAAATCAAACTTTGATGGGGAATTCACTTATAAATAGGGGGGCATAGTTGCTGAAACCCTAGAATTCATATGATGGCCTCTGTGTGGGAAGAGAAAGCCAAGAGAAATAAAATGATATCAAAGCAGTTTGATTCACCTCACGATATTTATGGTTCATGAAATATTATCAAATTATTTGATTCATATGCTTAATCTACATATGAATACTAAAGTGTCATTAAATTAATTTGATCTCTTACAACACAAGCAACATGAACAGAGAAGGATATAATATCATATACTCGATCTTGCACTCAAAGATAATGCCATCAATCAACCCTAATGAATAATCAAGTATGTCATGCATTAATATCTTATCTAGAGTCCTCACTATTTCATAACGGATTTAAATTACTCTACAGATCCTCGAATCATACTTTGTTAAAATTTTGTTACGCCCCAATAGCCTATGCAACACCTTATTAGAACAAACCTAAATTTAAGAAGAAAAGCATAGAGCAACAAGAAACTACAATATTTAAGTTTTCTTATTAGCTTTTGCTGCGGAACTCAGATATATATTCGATCATAATTAACTGGAATAATAATATGCTTATCTGAATAATAGGGATGTGCAAACCATGGTTCATAGGATTTATAATGTCTCCAATCACATGCCAAGCTCACAAACATGCTTTGGTAATCTATCTCCACTAGTTTTTATGAATAAAAATACAGAACAAATCAATTTTTTTAATTTTTAATTTTTAATTTTTATTATTTTTTATTTTTTTCTTAGAGAACAAATCATGCCTAATGGTATACCTGGCTAATAGGGCACGCTTTCAAAATATCACATTTATAAATTAAGATTTAAGATGCATGAACATTATGTTCCTCTTTGATAACATTATTAATTTATGTAGTTACATGATCAATCTATAAATCCATGGCATCCTTGCAATTGCAAGTAACCATACAACCTAAGGTGGTTATATGGGCTCACACATAACCACTTTTTAATAGGAACCCTTACACTGGTTTTTTCACCCGTAACAATAGAAACACACCCCCTCACATAGCTATCATGGCATCACGCCATTATGTTTATTGGCTTATTATCCTTGCGAGTCATCCATAAGCACTGGCCAAAATATGCACACTAACAATAACAGGACAAATATTCCTATAGTTTAATAACCACTACATTCATGAGGTCATTATGCTAATAAAGAATGTACAAAGGTAAACTTGGCATCATCCTAAGTTCACAAACTCTCTGCACCTGGATGGATACAGGGGCTTCGTTTGGTTATCCCTTAACTTTTGTAAAATGTAGTTTTAAAAACATTGGTGGAACAAATGGATTTCTCAAACGAAGAAGCATATATCAAAAAACTTCTCAAAATAGCAAAAAAATGAAGTTCTGCAAAAAACCTTTCCACATGAGCGGCATATTCAAACAGCGACAAACACCGTTTCCAAACGGAGAATGAGAAAATAAGCCTCGTCAAACGAGGCCGTAATCTTATCAAAAACGCACTCGCTAATGGAGAGATGCTTCTATCCACTATATAAAAGCATCTCTCAATTGCCTTAATACCATTTTAAAGATCAAAGGCTCAAAGCATATACATCCATTACTCATCATCTACACAACATACTCACATATTAAATTCATTATACGATTATTATCTCCCATCATCATTATCATTATCAATGCACACAAGAGCTTGCATGTGCAATGCATGGTAAGATCTTGTGCAAAGTTTAATAATTAAATCATAGATGATGTATATACAATCACTTAAAAATACAAATAATTAATTTTATCAAATCAAAGACATCATATAAGGTAATATTATGCATATCATTGTCAACATATTATGTTTCTCATAGAAAATGTAATAACACTTGAAGCTTCAAGATCTGAGATGTATAGATAAAGTTTTATAACCTTCCAATATTATTATTTACGATAAAACCTTGGCAAAAAGTAGTCTTGCTGAACCTAACAACTACAATTTTCTATCCTGGCTGCAGCACCGGGGCACTACCATCTATATCAAAGCTTTCACCAGGACAAGCTGCTTATCATTTCCTTGCAGGTTATCAAGATGGGAAGTTCACGCCGGCATATATTAAGGGTCCATCCTCTCTTGAACCCCTAGTTCTTGCAAGTGCCTTGCATTCCCAAGTATTGGCCAAAGCCTACGCATTTACATTAGGTAAAGAACTTTATTTTTTATTATACTGACTTGCTCACATCTTTCTTTTTGCAGCTAAAGGATAGTGAAATCCCAACCTTCTTGATTAATGTTAATGATGGAGGAAAACACATTAATGGTAAGATAACAAATAGCATGCAATATTGTTAATTGAATTGGGGCCTGTTGGTTGCTGATATCAGTATAATTGTTTGAGAGGCTGTTAATGTGAAAGCAATTGAGAAAAAATGCATTCGTTTCAGTTGATTTTAATTACTGAATATTTCTTATGACAGGCAAGGAACTTTTAAAATTGGTGCAATCATCTTTGTCAGCTGACTTACCAAAGAGTCAGCTTGGGGCTGATGATGCAAAAGGTAATCAATAGTATTTTCTTGCGTGGAACAGTGTTCGCCTGCATTAGCTAGAGGTCCTAAATACTGATTATTTCTGAATCTATGCAGTAGGAGAGCTTAAAGGAAAGTACAAGAGCTTCCTTTCTGGGAGGTTCGAAGAATTACCTGAAGAATTTTCCTTCTGATTCTATTTATCAAAATAAGGGAACTGTAATATGTTTTAGAAGTCTAATAAACTGTCCATATATGTATGAGTTCAAACTTGCGAAACATTGTGCTGATGAGATATTTTAACGCATTTTTGCCTTTCTGGAATGGTTGATGGGCTGTTGATTAAAATTTTAACGAAATTTCCATGTTACCATGATTCAGAAGAATATTTAAAACTCGGCTACTCTAATATCTGGTATCTGATGAACTACGAGCGATTGTTGAAATAGGGATTAATTGAATAATTACTAAAACCAAGAAGCTGGATTTATTTCAAATATTGCAATTGCTTGGTTGTCCGCAACTTTGCTTTTGAGGTTTTTCTGAAGTGAGCACGTTGAGAAGGATTTTATTTTATTTTTTTTAAGGGCAATTATGAAGACCAAAAAATGATCTCCAAACTAATAACAGTTGAGGAGAAAACATTGGTAGAAACTTGTGAAAAAAATATCTAAAAATCGGATGAAACAAATCAAGTATCTCTCTGATGCATATCACAATAGATCAAATCTGAAATATTTTGTTCTAAAAATTACATTCATTCTGGTTGCACAAAAAATAAGGAGGTTTAGCTGTTCCATTGGATAAGGATCATAAAATACATTAGAAGAATCATCTTAATGCTTCAAACTAGAATTGGTATTCAAATATACAAACAGGATGGGAAGCTGAGACACATCGATGAATAAACATATTGCACGCCATAAAACTAGTTTAATATATTTTAGGTTATTCTTTGTAATTATTCAATAGTAATATATCCGAAATGGCTCTCAACACAAAATTTAGAGGGCAGTCTTGATTTCTTACAAGAAGTGGCTTGGAGATGACAACTGATGGATATTTGTGTCACATTACTTCCGAAGCCATGAAGGAAATCATCACAAAGTAGCAGATCGAGTAAGAAGAAGCTCGCTCAAAGGATTCTATCTTGGAGATCACTAATGAAGCTGGACGCAAAAGCTGTCAGTTTCTTTCCAGTCTCCTCAGCAACGTTCTTTAGTGATGATATGTCCTGTGACGCCTTGAGAGAAACAGATTACACGGTAAAGACTCTTGGTAAAAGCATTTCTTCATCCAGCAAAACCATCACACTTAAGTTTCGTTCAGGACAGCTTTCTTTATGTTTCTTATTTTTAACAAAAAAATTTAATTTTTTACTAAAAAATCACTTTTAAAAACAGCAAAAATAACAATCCCAAACGAAGTCTTAATTATGTCTACTGCGTTTGAAAAACCAATTCAACCAAGTGCCAGATAACAAATGGACTGGACTCCAATTAAATGCAATTGTATTTTAAAACTAATTCGAGTATTCAAATTAAAGGTTCGTTTGTGACGGCTTTCTTACTGCTTCTTAAAGCAAATTTTTAATAAAAAATTAAATTTTTGTACTAGAAAGTTGTTTTAAGAAGCAGTAAGAAAGTCATTCCAAACGAATTCTAATACTGTCAATAATGTTATCCGATGTTTTTAGTATCATATTTTATCAATTAATCCTAAGCTCTTGAGAGCTTAAGCATATAGGAAAACTAGATCTCCCAAGGAAGCACTGTCCATTTGTTTTAGAATGGACATACTTCATTAAAGACTAAAATCAAGGCAAGCCCCGCCCCTCCACTCTGAGGAGAACTTTCTATTAGGTCACACACTTAAAGCCTATGCTACAGAGATTGCCACTCGGGATCACTAAGACATTTTGTCAACTTTAATATTTGATACCCTTCCGTGATGCCTGATTATGCTAAAAAAAAATAAAGCAAATGTTTACAGAATTACCTGGAAAGAGAATCGGTTGATAAGATCTACGGCATTCAAGTCAAGTCCCGAGTCATTTGTGTTATGACCAAAAAGATCAGAGCTGGATATGGCAGTTGAGTTCTGCACAGAAAAACTTTAAAAATCAGGAAGCCTGAAAAATCTTCTCATTCAGCTATATAAACACAAGTACAAAGAACAAGGTATAATTTAATAAATAAAAAGACTTATTATTAAGCAGTTCAAGAAGACTTGATTTGCTTCTTTTATATGCGCTTTACGGAAAGCTTCAGTAAAGCTATCAAATATACAAAATAAATACAAGAGGGAAACAAAGCCTCTTCTATACTAGGGCATGTTGGACCATTCAATGTAAAAGAAATATTCCTTGAATAGTATAGTTCTTACCGAGAACTTTTGCAAAGAGGTTTTTGTGTCTTGTTCACTAGCATTGTTCTGGTCACCAAAGAATTGTGCTGATGAGATGGATTTCGCATTTGAGAACTTCTGCCTTGCTTCACTGCTTTCCTGGACCTGAAAAGCATTATTGTAAAAGACAAATCTCATCGAGTGATGGAAAGTAAAAGAATATGCTATGCAAGTTCAATCACATGATTCCAACTGCACGATGCAAGTTGACTGAAACAAGTTAGAAAAGGAGACTCTGTACAATAACAGTACATTCCCAATCTCAGGCATCTGATCAACATATTGAAAATACTTGTATTAATTAAAGATTTAAAAACCAATAACAACTCTAAAATTAAAAAATAACGGAAAAAAAAAACCCAAATTGCCAAGGGAAGGAGATGTGCTGTTGGTGGCCTTTTGTGTGACACATTTTTTCTATTTTTCATCCTTAAAAAGCAAACCCCCCTCTCAACTTCAACCAAAGCTGTCATTATTCCATTCCTATCCTCGTGAAGTCAATTGCATTCAAAAAAAAAAAAAGGTGGAACAGTGGATTCCTTGCCTTTATGTCATTTCTCTATTTGATGCTTTTTCTTTTCAAATGCCCTCAAACTTCCACAAAATACAGATATTTTCAAATGATCTCAAGGCACCTCCGATGATAGCCGTATTGATAGAAAATATCAATCGGAGGGATTAATTTCAAATATTCAAAATGCTTCCCAAATACTCACAAAATCTAAAAATTCAAAAATATCAAAATCCAAATATTTAAAAATTAAAAGTAAATCATCAAACACTAAAAGAAAAATTCATTCACCATCTACAACAGTTTGCCGAGGTAGACAAATTAAAATATCACTTCAGCTCACAAAGAACTAATGTTTGGTCGAGAATATCACTATGATTCATTCTCAAACAGTCTCTTACCAACAAGGACTTGAAACATGTCCTCTAACCGACAATTTTGCTGTCAAATGGCGTCGCAGGTAAACGGTTATGACCGGGGCCCTCTGAATCAGGTGGTTTGCCATCAAATGGCACTACTAAATTACAGTCATGGCTAGAGCCCGTATGCTCTCCAATGGCACTAAATCCTTGAGATATGAATCAATAGGATATAATCGATAGGGCACAAATCCCTCTATTAGCTAAAGTGGATTTAAATTTATCCCCATAGACAAATACTCACCCCAGGTCTACAAGGTACCCTTGGACGACGCAACCCATGACTTCCGACAAGAATCCTTCTGTCAGGTTGGGCCGACTACCTCCTCTGAATAGGTAGACTAGGGACGATGGAACCATGGGATATCGATCGGGTCCATCATCACTTCCCCCACCAGCCGCTTTAAGTGCAAGATGGTAAACATTTCAATTTTAAATATCAAACTTCCAAACACCCAAACCCATGCCGCTACTAAATGTCAGATAACACATATTTCTACATATCTGATCGACGACTAGTCTTAATCGAAAGTTCTCTTTCGTTGTCGGGAGAGGTAATTAACTATAGGGGCTTGCGCCTATAGGAAACCAGAACTCAGATGATAAAGCTCTCGCAAAATGAGGGTGAAATCTCTGTGTAGTGTCTTATCTGCGAACCCAATCTGCCTTTCTAAAATTTTCCTCGAAACTTAATACATTAAAACTTCTCCGAGAGCAAGAGTCCGGGGCGCAAATTTTTGGAGCCCACAGTCAGGTACTTTCACAAAGTTGCAGCAATATCACTACATATAGAGCTTGTATATACATCTTGTTGAAACACTGCAGTAATCTACCAAAAATAACCATTACTTGATTTGCAAAAAAAAAAACTTTCAAGCATCTCACTCCGTCTAATCTTTTTTTCTTATATCTAATTTCAGAAATCTTAACTTTTATAGCCTATGAATTATTGCAAATAAATATAGAACATAAGTATTGTCATGCATTCGCAATAAACCAGAGAGTTGCACACGTAAGTACATGTATGCATCAACCATCGGGATATGCTTTTACAATCATTCAAGAATGGCATTCAAGGGTCTAAATATCTAGGCTCCGGAAATGAAATATAATTCAAGAAAATTCAGTATGAATAAATTCTGCATTTACCATTTAACACATGAACGAACTTCATTTCCTCGTGGAGTAGCAATTAAAGAAGCAATTTAATAACAGCAAATAACCTTTGAAGTGGATGCAATAAATAAGTAATGTTTTTGCATTTTAATTGGCATTAAATAATCATTGTAGTTTCCCAAAAAAATCTCTTTGTAATAAGTAGTTGATAGAATTCACACGCTCTTCATGGATTCAAACTGATGCACTCATTAAGTAATACATTCCAATTATTATGTGAGCACCACTTGGGAATTGGCTCACGGATTCTATAAAACATTTGAAAGAGGCCATAAGAATAAATGTTGCCATTTGAAACATTCCCTACAACTATGGATTGTATATCACAAAATATCTATAAATTCATATTTTGTTGTTTCTATGCTGTTTAGTATGGACTACAATCACTGTTAATCTCACAAGGATGGAGAAGCTGCTCTGCAAGTTTGTTGCCTGATGTTGCCAGACCATGTAAGAGTTGCATGCATTGTTGTATAGCGCTTTTCATCACACATTATTTGCACAAACAGGGACTATGATATGTAAAATTTCGAAAACAAAAACGAGTCGATCAACATCACCAGACGATGCCGACCTTTCTTTTTTTCATAATAAAAACTTTATAGTTCCTGTGCATGCTAGTTCCACGCTAATTTGGTGCTTCATGTCCAGTGCTCATAGACCTATTATATGTTGGAATTTTAGCCCATTACTTGAGCAACTGAACCATTAATGAGAGTTGAATTATATTTTTTAAGGATGACTCCAGAAAGCTTGCATTTACTTTTCATGCTGATAAAAATCTATTGAAACACCATAGGAATGATTTTTCTTGTCTTTGGCTCTTGAGTATGTGATTTTGGAAGTTGGCAACCTTTCAAAAATTTTTGAAGACTTCGGTGGAATTGCATATTGCAAAGAAAGTCATTTATGCTCAAGAACAAGTGATAAATATTGGCCCGTTCTTATCAAGATTAGAACGGAAGAGGTCTATGTCATATGCTTGATGAAAGGGTTGATAATATTGAAGAATACGTGAAATGTGAGACATTAGATAAACATATTTTATGATAGTCAATACTTTGTAGCGTTATGGAAACCTCTTAGCTAAGAACAGACATTAACTGAATGATTATCAAGGCATCTTTGGATGTCCTTAGTGTAATCGAAGGTAATAAATATAATTCATGTAACTTAGTTGTAGGACGCTAACTTGTAAATTAACACTCCCACAGGCATACATACGTGGTAGTGAATGAAATGTGGAAAGAGGATAAAAAAACTTCTGAATCATGTCTTGCCTTCCCTTATCCTTAATCAAGGTATTGTTATCATTTAAACAGAATATGCTAGCTCAGTTCCTGTACATCAACGCATAGTAGGATGTGTTAAGGGATTCTTACCCCCTACACCACCTCCACATTCCCCACCCCACACATTTCCTTCATATCAAACATGAGAAGGCAATTATTAAAAATTTCAACTTTGCAGATATCATACGTGAAATTTTTAACCAATGAACGTTTAAACTATTTTCCTAAGATCTGGAAAGGATAAATACTAGCTAACAACCAGAAATCAGAAGTCACTGTATGAAAAACGTCAATTGCTATAAACGTCAGTTTAAATGACAAATTTACGAGAAAAATTCAAACATATTAACTCATTAAAGTAATATCAAATAGTGCCACCTGAACTTTTGATGAAATAGAACTTGATTTTTTCTGAGATCCACTGTCCATTCCAAAGTCTGAAAAGAAGCTTGAAGTTTTTGGAGGAGCAACATGGCTCATTACTTGAGTTCCTCCTGAGCTACTCTCAGTAGATGGATTATCCGCATACTCAAAACGAGAAGGGAAAGATGAACCAACTGTAGGGGCTGAACTGATTGAGGAAGTTAGAACTGGTGCTGGTTCTTCAGGTTTCTGATCATAGAGGCTTTCATTTTGCTGCACAATGATAATGCATTTTAATGAGATAATCCTTATGTTTCTTCAGACAAGAGGATGGTTGTGAATAAAAAAGAGAAGTTACTGGAGAAGAAGAGTAGAGAAAGAGTAGTTGGAGAAGAAGAGTGCATTAAACACAAGTGAGAGAGAGATAGAACTGAGGTTGGCATGGCTTTGCAACTTGTGCAAAAACTGTGTTGCAAAAAGCTGCACTGCAGAAGAATGCTGATCATTGCATGGAAAAGTGCATCTATAACTGCTAAATTAGATGGGATTAGTAATGGAAAATGACATTCAACATAATCAGATACTTAGTCCAGTAAACAAGAGCATCATGCAATATTCCTGTTGAATTCTTTATTTTTTAGTGGTCCTCCAAGCAGGCCATGAAAGAGTGTTAGAGACTCAACTTTCTCACCAGATGCCTTGTCATATAGTTGGTAGTACATGAATAACAAAAAAAATCCTATTTCTATGGAGATAAAAATTGGCCAGACAATGTCTATAGAATTAAACCTTTTAGGGCTCAAGTGACTGTCCAAATGCTGCAACAAAGAAGGGTTTTAATCATTGCTGCTAATGTTGCTGCTATAACTGCTCAATTAGAAAGGGTGGTGTTCAATGGGAATAATAAAACATACAAAATCAGCTATTTACTATTTAGAGCAGAAAACAACATCATGCAACAGTCCTATTGAGTTATTTTTTGCAGTGATCCCTAAAACAGTTCCTGAAAGACTCTGAGAGACCATCTTTCTGATCATACTTCAACTGCCAAACTGGAGATGCAAATAGCAATATTATATTAGTTTAGAGCACGAATAACAAAAAAAATGCCACGGTTTAACTATAACTATAGAATTCAACATTTCCGGCTCAAGTGACTGAAATTATCAGATAATTGATTGGAAAGTGCTACAGAACATTCACCTTTGTGGTGAGCTTTCGAACACCAAGTCCCCCAGATTTTCCACCTTTCTTTGAGCCAATGGGTTTCTTAATAACTACTGAATGAGTAGGAGCTCTAGGAGAATGAACAGTATCAACAATCTCATGTTTTTCATTTGGTTTATCCTTGCTTTCTGATTCTGAAAAATTCAGATCGGGAAAGCCATCAGCAGCTCGTGGTGATTGGGATGCAGTGGGAGAAGATGGTAAACTGGTATCATCTGTGGAGCTTTTGGCAACTTCTTTTGAAAGCAACTGCCGGTATAACTCTGCAGCTCTGGATGTATATTTTGCCTCAATTTTCCCACCATCCGTCCATCCATGTTGTTTGAAGAAAACATGGGCACGAGTATTACCACCAAAAATCATCAATTTCAGTTGCTCAGGACTCCATGAATCCAAATTTGTTGACCTGTCAATCATTTAAAAGGAGCTTATAAGAATATAAACCTCCTTGAGGAAAAATTTGCATCTTATGAATGGAAATTTATTTAATGGCTATAAAGAAACTACAAAACAAACTCCAAAAATAATCTTAAAATCAGTAAAGTAAGTTACTTCAAAATAAAAAAAGGTATAGCAGTAATCAAGAAAGTTAACAAATTTCAAAACCATTATTAAGATTAGATTTGTTATATAAAATTTGAGAACATGAATTGGCGGATAAGAGAATTAACAGACAAAATGATTAGAAGAAAAATCAAAACTGCTTGCTTACAAAAAACTAAGGAAAATAAAATAAATGAAAGGACATCATAGAAATATATAACATATTGCTTAATAAGATAGGCTAGGCATCAGTTGAAGTCAAGGATAAACTTCTTGAGGTGCAGAGTTATTGATAGGGTGATTATAGTTAACACTATAAATGTGATTAGAGTTTATACTCCTCAAGATGGATTAAAAGATAGCTTGAAAAATTAATATTTGGGGTAGATGGAAGACTTAATAAAACATAAACTTAACTATGAGAGCATACTTGGTAGAGGTGATTTAAATTAATAAGTTGCTCCTAGTAGGATAGGCTATGAGATAAATTAATGGGGGGCAGGAAATAGATGATAGAAATACAAAAGAAGATATATTTGATTTCACAGTAGCATACAAATTGCAATGGTGAATAAAAATTTTAGAAAATGAAAATAACAATCACCTACTTCTATTAAAGATAAGATTGTGTGCAAGTAAAACATATATAGGTCCCTGTATAACTGTGGGCTCCGAATATTAGTGCCCCGATCTCTTCGCACCCTTTTTATTGATGGAAGAGTTTTAATGAATAATGCTCTAAGGTAAACTTTCATAAGGCAGATTGGATTTTAGATAAAAACTACCTAGAGATTCACCCTCATTTTGCGAGGATTTTATGATCTGAGGTCTAATTTCTCATAGGCACAAGCTCCTATGATTAATTAACACTCCCGATAACAAGAGAGAACTTTCGATTAAAACTAATCATAAGATAAGCACGAAGTACCTAGTAGATGGTGGCAATAGCTTTAGGGTTTTGAAATAGGATGTTTATGAATTCTAGGATTTAAAATTTTATCACCAAAAAATTAAAGCGGGTAACTAGGGAATGACAGCGGGCTCAATCAAGATCCCATAGTTCCATCGTCTCAGGTTTGTCATGGTCCCTAGCCTACTTAATCAGAGGAGGTAGTTGATTCAACTTGATGGAAGGATACTTGTCGACAATCATGGGTTACTTCATCTAATGAGACCTTGTAGACTTGGGTGAATGTATGCCTAAGGGGACATATTCGAGTCAACCTTAGTTAACAGAGAGCTTTGTACACTACCAAATATACCATATGATTCATTACTTAACGGTTTAAAACTATTGGGGAACATACGGGATATGGCTATAATAGTAATTTAACGGTACCATTTATCGGTAAAACCACTCAGTCATAAAAGTTTATCTATTGTACCCTATAGCAGAGAAATCATCGTTTAGAGAACACGTGTCACGTCCTCACTGATAACATATTGTTAAAGAATGAATCTTAACATTACACCTGATATGACACTTGGTTTTTGGGAGCAGAAGGTATTATTAAATTTATCATCCTTGACAAACAGTTGTGAATGACAGATGAATTTTTACTTTAAGCTTTGTGGTGTTTAATTTCATTTTGAATTTTAGATTCTTATAAATATCAAACTTTGTGAGCGACTAATTTTAGTTTCGTGTGCATTTTAAATATTTAACGTGGCAACCTCTAGTTGAGATTCACATTTAACATAGCCATGAGAGATGAAGGGATTTTGAAGAATTTTTTGCTGGGTGGAGGACATGGAGATAGATTTGATAGAAATCATTAAGGGAGATTGAGAGGTGGAGAATGAGTTCTTTCTCTCTCTCTATATTTTGTGAGAGAGATGGTAAATTTTTTATGAGAGGATTTGAATGGGTTGGAGTTTGGAAAGAGATCTTGAAGTGATATGGAGGACTGTTGGAGAAAATGAAATGTAATGGAGCTTTCTCTTTCTCTATTTAGAGAGAGAAAGAGGAAGGGGATTTGTAGAGATTTGAGTGAGGGCTTTTGGTGGTAGAATATTTATTAGTGGAGGAATGTTACACCCCAGTTTGTCTTGCCCTCTAACATTCAAATTGGAGTATAACAGATAAGGAAAGAAATTTATTTAGACTCCTAATACTTCAACATATCAAACTCCACACTTAATAATAGGAAGCATGTAATATACCTCAATTAACATCAAATATAATTAAGGTAAATACAGAGCTCTACTAAAACTTGTACATTTACTTACATATTCAAAAAGTTTGCATTGCTATCGTTCAGATCTATTTTATATCATTTGTAAACCCAAAACATATGTACACCAAAAAAGAGCAATCATCCCTTTAATACCCTACGGGCTCCTTTCCCTTGCCTGCAGTACAACCACTGCCAATAAGCTATGGCCCAATGAAATACACAAACATGTATAAGAATTAATATTAACATTTTAGTCATTAAGAAAGGCATAACATTGGTGACAAGATAATAACATGGTTAAAGCACCTTCCATATGAATCACAAGAAAACATATAAGTATTTTCCATTTTGCTAATTATTCAACACGCTTTTTAACAAGTCATATGATGGCTATAAGCTTTTGCATCCTTTTAGTTTTTCAATTCAAGGTTGGGTCGAACTTCCCAACTTTTAGAATTGAAGTTGTTCTCTCAATTTAGGGTTGAGTCCAAATTCCCAACTTCTAGACTTGAGAGTACAGGCTTACCTTATCAGGTCTTTCGCCTTTACTTGTGCGGGCTTATTCTCCAAAATATGGCTTAAATCACTTTACACTCTCATTTTTAGATACATTCCATAATCATAACAACAATTTAATCAACTACATGTTTAATCCACATATGAATTAATTGTAATAAATTGAAATATATGTTATCATGTGACAAAAAAATGCTATTATAAACATGATAAATATCAATTTGCAATTTTATAAAATTGTTAATATTTCTTATGCATCGTTTGGTATCTCACATCCCTTGAAATTCGTTCTTCTTAGTCTTGTTTCCTCCCTTTATACATGTATTTCAATGAAGGTCTAGGAAAATAATTTGGATTGAATGAAGAACTCAATTGAGGTAGTGTATAAAAGGAGGAGGAAACAAAACCAAGAAGAACGAATTTCAAGGGATGTGAGATATCAAACGATGCATAAGAAATATTAACAATTTTATAAAATTGCAAATTGATATTTCTCATATTTACAATAGTATTTTTTCCACATGATAGCATGTATTTTAATTTATTATAATTGATTCATATGTTGATTACACATGTAGTTGATTAAATTGTTGCTATGATTATGGAATGTATCTGAAAATTCGAGTATAAAATGATTTAAGCCATATGTTCGAGAATAAGCCCGCACAAGTAAAGGCGAAAGACCTGACAAGGTAAACATATACTCTCAAGTTTAGAAGTTGGGAATTTGGACCCAACCCTGAATTGATAGAACAACTTCAATTCTAAAAGTTAGGAAGCTAGACCCAACCTTGAATTGAAAAACTAAAAGAATACAAAAGCTTATAGTTATCATATGACTTGTTAAAAAGGATGTTAAACAATTAACAAAATGAAAAGTACTACTATATTTTCTTGTGATCCATATAAAAGGTGCTCTAACTATGTTATTATATTGTCACTAATGTTATACCTTTCTTAATAGCTAAAATGTTAATATTAATTCTTATACATGCTTGTGTATTTCATTGGTACATAGCTCATTGGTAGTGGTTGTACTGCATGCAAGGGAAAGGAGCCCGTAAGGCATTAAAGGGATAACTGTTCTTTTTGGGTGTACATATGTTTTAGGTGTACAAATGATCTAAAAGAGATTTGAACGATAGCGGTGCAGACTTTTTGAATATGTAAGTAAATGTATAAGTTTTAGTAGAGCTTTGTATTTACCTTAATTATATATGATGTTAATTGAGATATATTACATGCTTTCTATTATTAAGTGTGGAGTTTGATATGTTTAAGTATTAGGAGAGTCTAAATAGATTTCTTTCCTTCTCTGTTATACTCCAGTTTGAATGTTAGAGGGTGAGCCAAATTGGGGTGTAACAAGGAAGATGGGTTAAGGCTTTTGTAGAGAGAGATTGATTATAGAGAATGTGAAGTTGTGAGGTAGAAGGAAATTGGTTGTAGAGTTTGATTACAAGGGAGGTGGAGAATGTGAAGGTGGTGGAATTTTTATGATAATGAGTTAGATGAAAAGAATTGTAAGATTTTCTATTTCAAATTTTGGATAGAGAGAGAAAGAGAGAGAGTGAGAAATAGAAAGGTAGGGAGGGAGAGGTTAACCGACCGGAGTCAAGTGGCTGGAGGTAGATTCGGGCTGGTGGCTAGATGAGCTTCAGCCGGCTTAGAGGCGGATATAGGATCAATACTGGTGGGCGGGATGTGGACAACGGGATGGGCCCAGGGGACACCAACGATCAGGCTGGTAGTACGGCCTTAAGCATGCGACATAGAGGAGATAAGTAGGGCAAGTGGGAGAGGTCGGTTAGCCGGTTGTGTATGGTGACTAGGCTAGTCGAACACAAATGACACCGGATTGGTGGCTGAATGGTTTGTGCAAGGGGCAAGCGGGACGGATCACACAAGTAGGGAGAGAGGAAGAGGGGGGCCGGGGCATCGGAGATGAGGGAGCGTGAGGTTCTGTTGTGAGGAATATGGGGCGACTGGGGTTAAGTGTATGTGAGGGATTGAGTGAATAATTAATATTAAATTAGGATTTTTGTACTAAGAATTTTCTTTTTTTTTCCTTAACTTTTTATTTATAGATAACAAAGAAGGACAAAAATTTTCATTTGACTGCAATGAAAGAGACAAAGGACAAGTTGCTAGAACATTTTAATTTTTTTAA